CGCGCCGGGGGGGGCTCAGCCCCCCTGGGATCGTCTGAGTCCCTCCTAGCTTAAAAAGTTTTCGCCAAACGCTAATCTGTATATTAGAAAAATGCAAGCTTTCTATCGTTGAGCCCCCCCCTGAGTGAAAATCCTGGCGCCGCCGCTAATTTTTCCAACGAATTTGATTGTCATTATTTACCTGACACGGAGTTGTGATCACCATCATGGTTCGGTATTTGTATGTGTCTCTCTCTTTCTGTCGTCTCCACCATCATTTTGCTTCGAGATACAACGACAAAATTATTTTTGTTGTATTTGATGAAAGTCTGATCTTTCTTTCATTATGTAAAACGTGTACAATAACACCATATCCAGTTTTGTTAGAAGCAGTTGAATTTGTTTGTGCCACAGCTGACCGATCAATTCGCAGCAATAAGAATTCGTTACATATATACGGTGCCGACAAAGCGAATTTCGAGTAGAACTTTTTTGCCGTTTTTTTCGTGTCATCTAATCGAATTCTAGCTGCAGATCACGAATATCTGATTTTTACCCTTATCAAAATCTTTCTTCCGGTCGAAAAAAGCAAAATACTACGAAGAAGTCGACCTTATAAGAGAAAAGTGCATCTTTTTACGAAATATGCAAAAATTTTCATATTCTTGTGTATTTTTAGTTTTCAGACTATTTTATCCTGATTCAGCATCATAAACTGAATCTGAAAGCGTTCTCAAATCGACTCTAGCACAAAAAATGTGTTGATGGGGATGCTTTAAAACTCATTGATTTGACTGTTTTTAAGTCAATTTTGTGAATTTATCTACTTTTTCTGTGTAAGTGATAGAGCCAGATATTTTATCTCATTCTACTCAACATACCACCATTTACAAAGTTACAACGCGCTTTTTTATTTATTTTTTCTATGTTGGAGAAAAATCGCCTCTACTAGCCGAGAATGGCCAGGGGGGAGGTGTTTCTTAGATAAAATGATTATTCTTTCTTAAAACGTTGTGAAAATTTGTTTACATGAATAAAAACTAATGGCAAATCGGATAAGCGTACTGTTGAAATAGTAATAAGATCTTTACAGGTCCTTGACCAGAAAATCAGAATTTTGTGATATTAATCCCGCGTGTATAAGTTTTAATGAAGAAAGTAATGACTGATCGTGCTTGGTTAGAGAAACTAAAGAGAAACTTGATGAAAACTAGTAAAAAGAAGGTTAAGTATCATTTATGATTGAACAGATGTTTCGTGCAAAATTGACTAAAAAACAATTGTATTAAATCAGCATATACTTGACCTTTAGGGTATGCTTCAATTGAGCGCCAAAAGCGTCGAAACAACTTCGAAGCTATATCTCGTTGCATAAAATATATACGGGAATCCGGTATCAATTTTAACATTTTATTGAAAGTTTAATCAGTGCGTGAACGAACAAATGCATTTCGATTGTATCAATGATCTTCGATCGCGTTTAGTTCACAATGATACTTAGGGCAGTATATAATCTTTACATTATATCGGTTGCCCAACATCTCTAGCTTTGTCACGTTAAAAATATAGTAGATTAAATCGAAGAAAGTTTTGCTTGAGAATAGAACTATTTTGACTTACTTTATATTATGACAATATCTGTGTGATGACTGTCGATGCAGAAACAACGAGCCAGTGCGAGAGAGACCGTGATGTTTATTGATGTAGAACCAACGAGCAAGAGAGAGAGAGAGAGAGATCACACCCCGGCATAAACACTCTTTTCCCTATATATACTGCATATATGACTCAAGAATCTCAAGTCATACGCAAATGACTCAATCATCATGAGCACATACACATGACTCATGGCAGAATGCCATGACAATCTGGATCGATGTACTATCTCAGTAATGAAAAAATCGGCGTTCATGTGTTAATAATTAGTTTATGCCCATTATTTGAGAAATTTGATTATTTTCCATGCTCTTCTCGTGAAAGTGATGATGAATCTAGAAGATGAAGATGGATGTGTAATGAAAATTACAAACGGTGGGAAAATCTCCTATAACAGTTATTTAATGGCTTGGAGTCGCGAAAAAGATGATACAATACGAATTAAAACGTGTATTACATTATTTGAGAGAACGATTGGAAATAATTGTGGATTTTGGGAAGAGTGCGGAATGCAAAATCTACTTTCTCTTGTAACAATTCGAATTAAATCCAGTTTACAAAGGATTTATATTCAGACACTTCACATATTAACAAAACGAACAATTTAATTTCAAACACTTTTTCTAAAGCTAAACACACATTGAATACTAAAAATGCTTTTTTAAATTTAATCGAAAAATTCACATATGACTAAAAATAAACTCAAAGAACTTCTCTATTCTTATCAAAAAGTGTTGACAACCTTGTTTTTCTTTCGTGGTATGAATGTGCATATGGTGGTGAATTTGGTATATGTTTTCGTGTTTGTTTGAAAAAATTGGAATAATTTGTGAAAGAAATCAGGCCAATTGAATTGCAATATCTTCCAGGTTTTTATGTTTCAAAACTAAAAATTTGTCGGTCAAAACTGACAAAACAAAATTGTCCTTATCTTTTATTTAAATAGAATAGATCTTTTCACAATAACAATGCAGAAAATGTCGTCACATATGAGTTCGAATTACAATTCCATCTCATCAGTTCAATTATCTGTTGTTTTAACATCAAAATCGTATATTGACGAGGCGACAGCAAATCTTTCGTTAAACAATTCTTTAATCTTAATAGTTGATTATGGGTCAGCACATGGTTTAAATTCATCTCAAGCAATGAATATGATCGTTAATTCATTAAAAGAAAAATCTAAAATAAACGAAAATCATTCCATACTTGTTCCCTCCACTGAAAGGAGGGTCATACGAAAAAAAATAGTTTGTGTGTTTGTCTGTTTGTGTCAGGGTTACAGGTCAAAAAAACATTTTTTTCGAAAATGCTTACAATTTCATAAAACATCATTTGGGAGGGATCCTGAGGCTCGAGGTTGGCTGGATGACGGGTGAAGGAGCAGGGACGTGACAGAAATGAAGAAAACATTTCAACCGCGCCTGAGAGGAGGACTACATAGAAGAGTTGATTATGAAAAAGTAAAAATACACTCGGTTGACTGTCGCATACTAAAGACCAGTAATCCAAAAATACATTCATTCACAAGTTACATACAGGAGAGTAATCTGAAATGCTGACCTTCGATATATTGAACGTTTTCGTAGGCTTTTAAGCGTTTTAATTAAGGAGATAGCCTTAAATGTTCGGGCGCGGATAATTTTATCTATGAGATGCTGATGGAATGCTAATTAATTTTCGATACTTTTTAGTCGCACAGGGATAATTATATGATAGATAGGGACAGCTTTGGGGCGACGAGTTGTGAGTGGCGCCCGGTAATCTAGCCAGTTACCAAAATATCAACAATCCGACACGTTCGAATGCGAAATATATAGTCTCATTTGGTTTTACCGAAATTATCTTTCTTTTAGAAAAAGGAGGACATGTTTAAAGGTACAAATCCATAATAGTCATTTATAGCGAACTTCTACTTCCTGTGAACAGTAATTGTCAGTCAGGAATATAGAATAATTAAAAGCAGCACAAGTACAGGGTCGGAAAGAATATTATTCAAGGGGGGTAACGATATAATCCCGAGTCGGAGGTATGATGAATTTTATACCAAATGAAAGCCCATGAAAAACGGGGTTTAGTGATGCTAAA